GTGCGTTACTCCGGATATTTTGTGTGCTGTGTGCGTTACTCCGGATATTTTGTGTACTGTGTGCGTTACTCCGGATATTTTGTGTACTGTGTACGTTACTCCGATATTTAGTGTACTGTGTGCATTACTCCGGATATTTTGTGTGCTGTGTGCGTTACTCCGGGTATTTTGTGTATTGTGTGTTCTACTGTGTATTTAGTGTAGTGATCTCAGTTCCGTATATCATGTACATGAACATTGTGTGTGTGTGTGTGTACACACACACACACACACACACACACACACACACACACACACACACACACACACACACACACACGCTCTGCCTGAGGTACGTTGTTACATGAACATGCCACTAGCAAACAAGTTGTTATATGATTGGAGGTAGATAGTTGCATGGTTAATACGATACAGAGGGTGGCAATGAATAGTGTACATGTTATGGTACGATATTTACACAGACACTAATATATCACATATCTACAACATATAAAGAAAAAAAATATATACCATCATCCGGACCATAGCCTCTGGGGCCGTTGGTGCACCCAATTCTTGATAGAGCTTCTCCATTTGTTGCGGTCAGCAGTTCTCCAGCTCGCTTCTTGTATATTGCTACCTGTCCACTCCGTGATGTCATCCTTCCAAGTTCTCATTGGTCTTCTCCTTCCAAGTCCTCCATTGCAGATGCCTTGAACTAGGGTTTTGCTCATTTTGTTTCTTCTGATCTGGTGGCCAAAAAAGGTGAATTTCCTCTCTATGATGGTATCAATAAAGTGCTTTGCGCATTTTCCTTTTTCAAACTCTTTCGTGACTCTGCTCCAAACATATTCATTTGTTCTTTTTTCTTTCCAACTGATGCCCAGTAGTCTTCTGTTGCACTTAAATTCAAAAACCCTAATCATTTTCTTGGTCCTTCTAGTCAAAGTCCAGCTTTTACAGCCGTACATTAAGATGCTTTTTACAAGTGCTTGCATTAGCTGGATTTTAGTTTTAACTAGAATATTTCTTGCTGCCCTGATCTTTTCCAGCTTAGCGAGGGCGCTAGTGGCGGCTCCTATCCTGCATTTCATTTCCAAGTCACTCATACAGTCTTCGGTTATTGTAGCTCCTAGGTATTTGAATGCCTTTACATGTTCAAGGTCTTCTCCATCTAGTTGTACTTCAATTACCTCATCACTGCTTTTTCCAGTTATCATGGTTTTGCTTTTTTTCTGCGCTTATTTCCATACCAAATCTCTTAGCTGTTGTGTCCAGCCTCTTTGTTAAATCTGCTAGTTCTTCTGTGCTGTTGGCTATTATATCTATGTCATCTGCAAATCTCATGTTGTTAATTAGGAGTCCTGAACATTTTGCTCCACCAGCGAAACTTTCCAATGTATCCTGCATGATTCTTTCAAGAAAAAGTTGTTCTTGCTTTTCGGTACAGGTTCTGTATGAGTTCGGTCATTCCTTTGCCAATGTTGTACTTCCTCATTGTGTGCCACAGTGTGTCATGTCACACTCTATCAAAGGCCTTCTTGAAATCAATGAAATTGTGATAGACTTTTGTGTAATGGTTTCTGTTCTCTTCACACAGTATTCTCAAATTCAGAATTTGCTCATCTGTGCTCCTGTCTTTTCGGAAGCCTGCCTGTGTTTCTGAAAGGACCTCTTCGCCTTTAGGTTTAATTCTGTTAAGTATAATTTTCAAGAGCACTTTACTGCTGGGGCTAATAAGGCTGATAGTTCGGTGTTCATTACATTTTTTTGCTTAGTTTCTTCTTTGGGATTGGGATTAGAACCGATTCTGTCCATTGTGTAGGCCATTGTCTAGATTTTAGGATCTGGTTTACATCTTGTGTAGTAAATTTATTGTTGCTTCTCCACCTACTTTTAGCAGTTCCCAAGGGATGTTGTTATAGCCTGGTGCTTTTCTTTCAGGTTCTTTATTGCTTGTTCTACTTCTCTCATGATCTCTGGATCCTCCTCATTCTCTCCAGTTGTTTCATCAATTATCGTGGTGTCCACTTGTGCCTCATATTGGTAAAGGTCACAACAGTATTCTTTCCATATGTTTGCTACATCATTGTTATTTGTAAGGAGTTCGCCATCTTTGCTCTCGATTACTCCTATTACCTTAGATCTATCTTCAGTTAAGTTTTTGACAATTTTGTAAGCCATTCTGGTGTTGTTCCTTGCAATCACATTCTTAATTTTTAGTGTTTGTTGTTCAAGCCAGTCATTTTTTGCTTTTGTTATTGCTTTTCTCACGTTTGTGTTTGTAATCATGTATTTCTCCAATTCATCTTTTTCCTTGAAACGTTCTTTTTTCAGTTCCCTTCTTTCGTCACAAGTTTTGATTATTTCAGGTGTTAGCCACGCTTTCTTTGGTGTTCTTTTTGTGCCTAAAACATTTTTTGCGACTTCATTTATGGTATCTGTAAAATTGTCACAAATTTATATACACATGTTTATATAAAAATGCCCCCCCACACACACACACATATATATATACACACACACACAAATATATATATATATATATATATGTTTGAGGCACCAGTCTCTTCAGAGGCTGGGTTCGAATCCCACCGCTGCCACCAATATCGTATAATAATTGTTCAATTAATTTATTGAATGTCAGTAAATATTATACGACTTCATTAAAATACTTCTAGTCTATATTTCCCTGTCTTAACAAACTAACAGCTTAAGATAGCACTGCCACCACTCCCTCTTGAAAGAGAAGGAGAAACTCTTTAAAAAAATATGAGGAATAATACAAACAATTCATTAGATTATTCTAATTTACTATTTGTCCCGATTACTCCAACAAGAGCCATAAATCCCATGGCGACCATGCCTTTAGCTCCAAGAGCCTGTAAACAAGCTCTCTTTCCTAGAACATTTGAACCCTGCCCTGCTGGGTGGTGCATGGCACTACTGGGGACCTACCCACTCTTGTCAGACTCACTCTGGACTTTCACAGAAAAACCACTTGTCCACGGTTTTCTTTTTTTAAATCCAGCATTTCAATTGCTGCTTTTATCTCTGAAATATCTGTGGTCACACTTTTCTTAATTCCACACATTTTCCACAAACCTTTCACATTCCACATTTTGTATAGTACACTGAACACTACATACACACAAGAAACTAAGGTCATTACCCACAAAACAATTGTGGAAAACTGTCTGTCCCCATTTATCTCTAGTTTCTGTTTTTCTTCTCTCAAGAGGGCCCTAACCCAAGCCCGCTCCCTGAAAGTAGACCCTTCCACTTAGACCCTTCCCTCGCATAGAGGACCATCTTCAGATATTTCCTGAAAAATCTCTGCATCACCTAGGTGAGAGGCGTCCGGCCATAGGGGTTTGGTGATTACGGTAACTTCTGATGTCTCTTTACTCGTCGAAATGGGTGGAAGGGGCAGCTCCTGGGCTGCCACTTGACATCCCTTCCTCGCGACAGGTGATGATGATCTACATTGGACGAGGTACATTATACAGCCAACGGTCCCGATCCCGCACCATAACCGGCACGAAGTCATTCAAGACCACCTCATCACATGTCGTGTCGTCCTGGAGGTCGCCGAAGAAAACTGTACTTAGGCACGTCCTTACATGGCCCCGGCGATGTAGTGCCTGCTGAACTGGGCACACATACAAATCCGGCAGCACCAGTCGACAAGAGTCCAGCCCCTCCATCTCGATAAGCAGATCCCTGGACTCTGAAACAAGCAGAAACAAGGGAGATACTTGGTCTTTATAAAGACATGCGAGTTGGGAACCGGTCGTGGAAAACTCTGGACTCTGAACATATCCAGCTTTATCCGGGGTAATGGATGGGCTAGATACATCATCAGGGTGTCCATGTGACGCGTTGGCCGGATCTCCAACTGCATGACTTCATAGAACAGGTGTAAATTCTCCTCATTAGAGGAAAACAACAATGGTACCCCTTCTATAACAATGGTCTGAAGAATATTCAGCAATGTATTGGTTGGTATGAGGTCAGTTTGCCTGTCATGGCCTCCCTTAGTCCTGCCATAACCAGCCCTCGACTTTCTTTAATTTCATGCAACATTGCCCTATAATTTTTCAGGGTAAGACTCAGTAAGAATAGCTGTTGTGTTTCCCCACCAGCCTTACCCAGTGTTCCCAAAGGTACATTTAAAACCTTTAAAGAATCCTCCATCCTTTTTCGGGCAGACTCCAATTTCTCTACCTCCCCCATAACACTATCAAGCAGAGATAAGGAAACCTCACTCATGTGATGGGCCTGGCTCGCCGTCTCTTCTGTGGACACTAATCGTGCATGTAGCTGGTCAATTCTATTATTTGTTACAATCCCAATGACTAAATTTGCCACATCCCCCAGCACTGATATTCCCTCCATAATAGAGCGCACAGATCTGTCCTTCCCATGAATACTTATGAAAAAATCCCTTATTAATCCCTGTAAAACCAACAAATTGTCCTTCACCTGAAATTCTATCTCAGTTAGCCACTGATCTAGCTTCATCAATGGTTCTAGAAATGTTTGCCTCTTCACTTTCACTGGGATTAACTGAATAGAAGATGTGTAAAGTACCTTTGCTTGGGTATAAACACCAATCCTGTGTTGGCCAGCGTGTCTTCCAACTCCATCATGGCCCCCACACCCATAATCATCTGAAAAACCGAATACAATGAATATCTTCACAGAATAAAAACGAAATCCTTTAAATTCTTTCCCACCTAAGGTGTCACATAAAATCGCTGTTCTTTATCCCTGCTAAATCTTCCAGTAGCAAGGCTTCCCCCTGGATCCAAACCAACTTTATGCCAGTTGAACCAATCCGAAACCCTTCCCTGTGACGCTTCAAAAGTAACTCCAATATAGGATAACTGTCCCATACCAGAAACATTTGAACCTCACAGACTGCCATCCTCCTGCTCACTCCCTGAGCATCCAGGTCCCCCTGGTTCTTAGCCAGCTTCATGTTAGCTAAAAACCACCCACCTGTCCTTACAACTCTTTTATATCTGTCTCTTAGAACGTAAACCATAGGTGCTGGTACCTTCTCTCCCACACCTATCCTTCTTACTTCCCTGAGTACTCTTCCGAGCAGTCAGGTGTTCCTGCTTTCCCACCAACTCTGAGCCAGTTGTGTCATCCACTTCTTCATCCTCTTCTACTATATCCTCATGTACAGGATAAGCCCTATCAATGTTGTAAGCCTGCCCCGGCCAAAGGCACGCTTCTTTCTTTATCCTGTCAACATGAACCTTTGACACCCTTTTATCCGCTAACCTTTGAACTTTAACCACCACCTCACTGATCTTTTCGACAACTCGATAGGGGCCAGTGTATAGCAGTTGCACTTTCTTACTCAATCCCGGCTTAACTATAGCCTTTATATATACCCTGTCTCCCACTGTATTAGGAGAAGGCCTTGCCCTAGGCCTGTCTGCAGGCCTCCTTCGAATTTCCTCCTCGATATAATGCTGACATCTTTTAAAGACTTTACTCCCTACTGTTCGTAGTTCCTGAGCATAATCATTCAGATTATACCAGGGTGCAACTTCCTCAGCAACCATGACATAAGGCCATTGTGGATACCTGTGCTTTAAAGCAAAAAATGGAGAGTCCCTGATTATACGATGATAAGCAGTATTGTATGCTAATCTGACTATTGGCAACATTGAGTTCCAATTTTCTGGATTATCAACAACCATTGTTCTCAAAATCTTTGTTAGCACCCCATTCACTCTTTCTACCTGCCCATTAGAGCTAGGGTGATATGGGGTTATTACCTGTTTATCCATTCCCATTTGTCTACAAACAGTCTCAAATAGTTCATTTAAGAACTCCCCTCCCCCATCAGAGATAATAAGTACTTCGTCAGAGCATCCACCACTGTAAGAATGTACTTATGTCGTGTGGGAAGGGCCCCACACGACCCATGTGTACTCTCTGGAAAGGACGAGTCACATCAGGAAAATGTAAGAGTGGCACTGGCACCTCCCGTCCTGGCTTGCAACAAATGCAAATGTCACACTGCTTGCAAAAGAACTCCACCCTTTTCCTCACCCCCCGGAAAGAATGCAAATTTCTAAAGCCGGACCAATGTTGCTAATACCCCTCCATGCCCAGAGACAGGCAAACTGTGTGCTAGTTGCACTGCTGTATCCTGAAACTGTAGAGGTACTACAACCCTGCATGTCTTCATATTGTATGGATTTACAGTCACATTGTAAAGCAGGCCATCAGGACGAACCTGATAGTCATCCAATGCACCAGGGATTTTCTTCCTATCCCTACTAGAGATCTGTGTCCCTTCCCTTAGATCCGGAGAGGATCAGAATCCTGAGCTACTATCAGTTCCTCTACTGTCCATACCTTAAAAACTCCTAATGGGTCGACCTTTTGGGATGACACATCCGATGTACCCGGCTAAACATGTCCCTTTTAGTCTTATGTCCGCTCCAAGTAACAGCCCCCACCAATAAATCGTCTAATGGGTGGTCCGCCCCTCGAATCCTGGATAATGCATCTGCTAGAACATTTTCCTTACCGGGGAGATACTGTAAACGAATGTCAAAGTCGGCAACAGTCATCCTCCACCTTGCCAGACGCTCTAATCAATCCCTATTCTCAAACAAATAGACTAATGGCTTGTGATCACTATGAATCTCTACTGGATATCCCTGTATGAGAGTCCGATTTACCTTCAAGCCAAACACAACAGCCAAAGCTTCTCTCTCAACAGTCGAGTAATTTAATTCGGCTCCCTTCAGCTGACCACTGAAATATGATAAAGGTTGCAATGCCCCCTCGTCATTCTCCTGCTGTAGGGCGCCCCCTATTGCAGACTTGCTAGCGTCAGTCACTAACACAAATTTTCTCCTGAAGTCTGGAAATCTGAGTACAATGTCATCACTCAGTGCCCCCTTTGACTTCTCAAAAGCATCAACAGCCTGAGGAGTCCATTGCAATTTCCTCTAATTACTTGCTGACTTATCCCCTTTGCTTAAATCTACCAAAGCCCTGGTAATATTCGAGTATCCCTTAATGAATTTCATGTAATAATTTGCAACTCCCAAGAAAGCCTGTAAATCCCGAAGTATAAGAGGACGAGGGTATTCCCTTATCGCCTTCACCTTCGCCGGCTGTGGTTTAATACCCTCTGCCGATATGACATGACCTAAGTAATCAACCTCTTTCTGAAATAAAGTACACTTTGACAACTTCAAAGACAAATTTGCATCCCGAAGTCTTCGAAGGACACTTCTAAGGTTTTCGCAGTGTTCCTCCCAAGATTCGCCAAAAACCACAATATCATCGAGGCATACAAACCCTACCTCTCCTATCAAACCAGTCAACACCTGATTAATGATGCGCTAAAAAGATGATGGGGCATCCTTTAGCCCAAAAGGCAAAGTCCTGAACTCATAATGTCATCTCTCGGCTCTTTTGAGTCAAGGGAATCTGGTGATACCCCTGCCTGAGATCAAGGCAAAAAAAAAAGAACTTACCCCTACCTAGTCTATGAAGAATGGTATCAATATGAGGCAGAGGATATCTGTCGTCCCTGATCCTCTTATTAAGCATCCTGAAATCCAGGATAACCAAAGACTGCCATCCTTCTTTTTGACAGGAACAAGAGGATTATTATAGGGTGACCTGGAAGGTTGAATTATTCCACTAGCAACCATTTCTTCCACTTGCCTCTTAATTTCCTCCCTATGCTTGATAGCAATAGGGTATGGCTTCTTGTAAACCGGGGGTCTAATCTAATCTCATGGTAAAACCTATATTGTCAAAGGCTCCCCCCCCCAAAGAGAATGCATCACTGAATTCATATACAAGACCTGACAAAGCATCATGTTCCCGAGAATACCTAGGTAACATGGCGTCAACCTGCTCTAAAAGCTTGTCTTCCCGCCCCTTCCCACTTACTGGAACAGAGCGAATAACCGCTACAACCTGACTAGTCTCTCCCAGGGAGTTATCAACTAACATGCTAATCTCTCCCAGAGATTTCCTCTCCTCTAGCTCCACTGGACAATCTTCCCAGTTTGCATATGGAATACGAAACCACCATGTACCACTGCCTTCTCACGTAATGCAATCACTCCCTCAAAGAAATCTAACCCAGAACCTGACCGAGGATGAAACAACATCGTACAAGCTCCCTCATGAATTACATTACCCTCAGGTGAGACAGTAACCAACAATGCCCCACATGAACTTGCCTCTATTACCTGACTTTCCTGAGGAAAGACAGGCCACACCACAGAACTGGTAATCTCTGATGTCAGTCCATGCAATCTGTCCTCTGTTGTCACACTGCTATCCTTGGTACGGCTGGCACCAGACCATACAGGCGTCCCCGAGGTCCTGGTGCCCCTAGTGGTCGCAGGGCGTCCCCCACAACCAATAGTCGCCGCACACAAGGAAGATGACGACAGACGGCTACGCACAACCTCCACCTCCTGGTCGTTTATGACCAAAAATGGAGACTGTGAAGAATAGACAACATGGTGAGCATCAGTGAAATATGTGCCAATCAGCATCTGACCTGGAGGCTCCAAGGAATCTACAACGAAAAAGTTGTGTATAACAGTTGTAGACCCTAACTCCAGACTGATTGTAACCTCACCTTTATGGTGCAAAGGTGAACCCCCATTCCATTGTACCTTCAACTCAGAGGCCCTGTAGACTAGACCACAGCCCTCTAACAATGAACTATGAATCAGGGAACATTCAGACCCAAGATCAAGCATTACCCGTGCTGACTTCCCAAGCACGACTCCGTCAAAGAGAACAAGCCCTGCCCCGAAGGCCGAAACTTTAAGTGTCCTTGACGCCCTAGTAGAGTTATGATGGCCATTATTAGGAGGGAATGGGACCCTCCTTGGCCTTACTCGTTTTTTGTCTTTGGATAAGGAGGAGGTGGGTCCCGCAACATCCTCCTTTCTCGCAACAAGGGACACTCCCTCTTAAAATGCCCAGGCTTCCTACAGTAATAACACAAGGCATCCCTTGGAAGCTCCTGTGGTGCCCGATAATGCCCGGCCGAATCCTGGCCGCCAGACCTAGACACTAACAACTTCTCGAACCTCCAGCATGAATCCATGAAGTGGCCTTCCACTCCACAAAATGCACACTGAGCCCCTTTACTCAGCTTCAGCTTCTCACAAGCATCAATCTTGTGCCCTAATGTTCTACAGAAGCTACATCTCTGAACCGACTGAGCCCCGCGACCTATCGACGGATGTGTCGGCTTTTCCACTGCACCCTGTGAGGGTGTACCTGTCCCGTTGGTGCCCCTCGGTGCATTAACACCTTTTTTGAGCAGGACCCCCCACAGCCTGAGGATTGATTGATTATTTAAAATTATCTGCCGCGTCAACAGCTAAGGTCATTAGCAGCGAACACCTTGTTAGGTTGAAACATTAAAATATTTAAAACGTTAAAAATTTATCAATAAATGTCATAAATAACAATAAATATAATATTTGAAATCAAAGCATAAACATTATGCTCTAAAACAACAAACAAACTATTATTGCATAAACATTATGCATAATTAAATTTTATTGAAAATATTAGTTTCCCTAAGGAAACTAATAAGACCTTCTATGTCACAATCTTCCCCCAAAACATTTTTCAATGTATATGGGGGAGACAAGTTCCTTCGTCTTTGGTCTGAGAATGTTGCACATCTCTCCACTATATGCGCGACCGTCAATGGCTCTTGGCATCCCTCACAGCGTGCTTCACTCTTAGCCATCATCGGCCCATGAGTCAGTCTTGTGTGCCCAATTCTCAGCCTTGTTAATACAACTTCCACTTGTCGGTTACGATGGATGCTGGTCACCCAACTGCCAAGGTCATCTCTAATCTCTCGTAGCTTATTTCTAGAGGTATGCCTCCATTGTTCCCTCCATTCATCACGAAGACAACTTCTGATGCTGGGTTTCAAGTCAGTGTGTGGGAGAGGAAAACGAGCATCACAAGGCTGAGCGGCAGCTGCCTTGGCCTTCTGATCAGCTCGCTCATTCCCACTGATACCAACATGTGCTGGCACCCAACACAGAGTTATCTTTTTACGTGCTGACATCAGTGCAAGCCAATCTTGAACTTCCCTCACCATTGGATGTGATGAGTTTAAGCTCTTGATTGCTTGCAAGGCACTACGAGAGTCACAATATATTACAACAGAATGGTTTGTAAGATCTCTAGTCATCTTGACTGCTGCAAGGATGGCATGTAACTCTGCAGTGAAAATCGAGGCTGATCGAGAAAGACTGCCAGATGCAGTCTTCCTTCTGCTCACTGCTGCAAAGCCCACACCATTTTCAGATTTCGAACCATCTGTATATATTGCATATGATCCCTGGTACTTAGAAGTGTGTTGAAGAAATGCCTCTCTGACTTCTGCTTCGGATCTCTCCCCTTTCCCAATTCCGACCAAATCAAGCTCGACTTGATTAGTCCAAGGGGGGACTTGGGAAGTTCCAACAGCCAGAACCTTTGTGAGATTTAAATTAAGATCTTCCACAAGATTCCTCATTCTCCTACCATAGGATCGGCTATCCTCAAGGGGGTTGAAAACCAATCTGGATGTAGGAGATCCCGGAATCCTTTGTAGTCTCATGTAATAAATCAGGTTCATGTAGTCCCGGTGTAATGAAAGAGGTGGTTCTCCACTCTCAGCATACAGGGACTC